CCACACAGGGCGGGTCAGAAAATTTTGTGTTTGGGGGGAAGGGTTGAGGGGGAAGGAGCCCGATCCGGGTCTGCTTGTTCCAGACGCTTCTCGGCAGGAAGCCGAGGCGAATATACTGCTACAGGAAAATTCACTTCTTCTTGACAGGCTTTTAACGCATTTTTCCGGAAAAAAGGAGTAGAGAGCACACAGATTTATTCAGATGTAAACCGTGTATTTCATTTACAAATTAATGCTACGTTCCTTTCATCTTGTCATAAACTAAATTCGCTCAAACAATCTTGTCTTTTTCTTAACCAATAAATGAAGGGAAAATATGAGGCAGGAATATTGTAAGAGCGGGCCAAAAGCCCCCATTACTAAACAAATCTTGTCTGGTTTTCTTATTATAGGGGCTAGCTCATTCTCTTCATACTATATTACAAGCCCGTACGTAGGGGTACAGGCTTGGTGTAGCGGTGTGTTTGGGTTTGCCTTTTACACATATATTTCAAAGGCGGGGAGTTGGGATGGGGCAGGGGTTGGGAATAGGTGGGAGGGACGAGAATGGATCCAAACCCCTCAGCCCTACATAAACTCGACATAAGCCCTATAAACTTTCAGCCCTAGTCAACCCTAAGCAAACCCGGAACCCTAAACCGTCTAAACCCCCGAAGCCCAGGCACCCTAAACCCTCTAAACCGCCCTGCAGCCCAGGAGCATGGTCCCCTAAACCCCAGGAACGCCATAAGCCCTGCATAAGCCCTACATAAACCCTACCCAAACCCTACATCAACCCTACATAAGCCCTACATAAACCCTACACAAGCCCTACCTAAGCCCTATAAAATTCCAGCCCCAGAGCCCAAGGAGCATGGTGGAAGACCCAGGCCAGCTCGGAGGGCCACTCAAAGGAGATGAGGCCGATGATGCCGGCAGATTGGAGCCTTGGCGTTTGGGGCTTAGGGTTTGGGGTTTAGGGTTTGGGGTTTAGGGTTTTGGGTTTTGGGTTTAGGAGTCACTGTCGAAGGACTCCGCCCAGCACACGGGAATGAGGATGGAAGCCGCCACCAGGTCAAAGCACCTGGCCGAAGGACCTGCGCCAACTTCCGGAATCGGGGCCGGAGAAGGCTGAGCCAGGCAGTTGCCCGCCTGCCATGGCAAACAATGCCACGATCAACAGTGGCCGCATGCTTGGGGGCTCCTGATGGAATCTGGACTCGGGAGACTGAGGGGGCCCCTCCGAAAGACTTCCTGGATTCAGCCAAATGCTTGTGCACATGCCGCGCCTCTTTCAAGGCTGAGAAAACAACTAACAACTCTCCGCCAGTCTGAGCTGTGACTGCACTTGCAAGTATAAGAGTTACGAGAGGGACCTACAGTGAGAGACCGCCGCGGCGATGGTGCAGAGTGGGGTGACCACCTTTCATTTGAGCTGACATGCGCAAAGCTTGGAACGCAGGAGCCGGGTCTGAATACTGAGGCCTCGGGGGCCTCGGAACACAGGGTTGCGGCCGAGGCTGCGAGGCGTGAGATTAGAATTGGGATCGAGCGAAGTAAACAGTAGCAAAGGGCGGCCTCATGGAACCTAGAGGCTCCGCTACCCGAGACAAGAGGCAGCATCAAGTCGCAAGCCGCAGCTTGGTTCAAGATACGGAGGAAGGTTGGCATGCATGGGACAACTTGAAAGACGGTTTTGGAAATCTTACTTTCAATTCTTTTTGTCATGTCAGCTTCGTAACCAACATGTGTGCAATTACGGCATTGCAGTCGGAAGCGGGCACTGCGGAGCCATGGCTCCCATAGAAGCCTTGCAAGGCCGCAGATGCTGAAATGTCCATGCAGCGGCCCACAAACACTGCACAAGCCAGCTCAACAGCAGAGGAGGGAGCCCCTTTGAATCCACTGATGGGGGATGGTTCCAAGCTGTGCGTACTTGCAACATCCCTAGATCGGCCGTTCGGGCCAGGCGAGCTTGAGAAGCTGCTCGATCAGGCCATGTGAGGGGGGCCTTGTGGGACTTGCGGGCTGACGACACTGAGTGGAGTCCAGTGCACACCAAAAAAGCTGCAAGACTTGAGTGTGGCTTCTCGCCTTGAGGATTCCTCTGTGAGTAGGCATTTCGGAAGTCGTCTCGTGAATGTGCAGGCCACGCCAAGTTACCGGTAGTGTTAACGGCGCCTGCAAGTCGCGTGTGTCTCAAGTTCTTCATGTTTTTCCTCTCAGGATGCGAGCTGCATCGTCTTGAAGCCAGCGCCGCCCTGAGAACCCTCCAAGCTCGAGTGGAGAGGGCCGCAGCTACCAAGAAGAAACACCCCAAGGCACTGAGAGTTTTCTTCCCGTTCCCTCACGGGAGGACCCCGCAGTCAAGCTTTTCAGCTTGCAACATGGCTATATTACGCATGGCTCAGGTGGCTTTGCGCAAGGATGCGGCCATCTCCAGCCAATTCCTGGGACACCTGGATGTCGGGCGACGCTGCAAGGCCAGACTTTTCGGAAGTGCGCGGATGGCAATCCTCCTCGTCGCGCTTCAGGTCGTCCAGGCATCCGCACCAACGTCGGGGGAAGCGCGTCGTGCGCTGGTGGTAGACGAGTCAGGCCGCCAAGGCTGCGATGGGCTTGGGATTCGGAACTCAAACCTCGCGAACTTGGATCAATCCCAAGTAACACTCCAGAGCACGTCATGACGCAACGGGGGGCCTGGGGCTCAGGGTAGACGTGCACAGAGAAGCTCTGGCTTCGCCCAAGCATAGGCCTTTGCCCTCGTGCGTTTGCAATTGAGTTTTTTTTTTTTGGGGGGGGGGATCGGTGTTCCGGCTTGCAGCGACGCCGGCGTCCCAGAATCATAATGGCTCAAGCGGCTCAAGTTTACAGCAGCCTTATTGCCGCTGCAGTTTAGGTTTCTGCCACCATTCCGGTCAGCCCAGATGACAGGGATGAGGATAACTTGGCGTGAGATGAACCTGCCTGCGAAGGTCACCTGCGTCGCCGGCACAGTGATCATGTCCATCGGCATCCTCATGATCGCAATCCATGCCGGGTCACAGAACAATTCCGAGCCCACCCCGCTTGTGTCCTCGACGGAAGTTTTCATTGTAGAAGGCCGCACAAACTTCTCGGTATCCTGGAGCGGCACTGGCCTCAACATTTGGAGCCTTTGGAGCAATGAGACGAATCGTTGCGGAGCTTACTTGGACTCCCTGAACATCACCCGGCTGGAGACCGGGAGCCGTGATTTCCTGACATGGACTTGTAAAGGACGACTCATTATCCACGATGGCCAATTGCTTGAGCGGTATGGACAAACTACCTACGAGGACTGGGGGACCTACAATGTTACTAGCGACTTCCCCACATGGGTCTCGGTGACCACATGGCCCACCGGCATTGATATGGGCGATGATGAGACAGGGGGTGGTTTGACCATCGTTGGATTTCTCGTCTTCTTGGCTGGAGTCATCTTCCTCGGTGTGTCGTACGGTTGCTGCTGTGTAAGCAAGTACCAAGGAGGTGCGCCGCCGCTTGGTCCAAGCTCTCCCCCAACCTACACAGCAGGTGCGCTGGCCTCTCCCCCGTCCTACCAGGGCTCTCCGACCGTGCAGGCGCAGGAGGTCGTCGTGATAGCCCAGGTGGTGGGATATGGAGAGGGAAATCAGAGTGCGCCAATCGCATGAGGATTGTTCGATGCACCGGAGATGGGTTTTGAGTTAGCGAAGAAATGCTGTGGAGATCCGCCGAAGCTGCGGGATCTGCCGGCAGCCAGTCCAGGATTGGCATTGGCAGGCTGAGTGGCTGAGTTCTGTACAGGGGCCCTCTACCACCCCCACGAGACGCCCTGGTATTCTTTGTCAGCCCGCGTGTGACGGACAGAAACAAACAGGCTGCATGTCCGGCAGGCGGATGGTATAGTCAATGGGTTCCCCACAATGTGACATGTTCCCCAAAATGGTCCTAAACCCTATTAAGCATCATCTCAGCTCTCATGGCCTGTAAGACCAGTCGCCAAGTCTTTCCCGGATCGTAGCCTGCAGGTTGGATCACGGCCATCAGCAGAGAGGGCGAGCCTCATGTAGCCCTGCCGAGCGCAGCAGCAGGCACCTCAGCAGCGACCTTGAAAAAGATTCGAGTTAGAAGAACGACTGCACCGAGCCGGAAGCGCCACGAGGTGCAAAAGAAGAAGTCGAGATGGCTTGACGGAATTGTTGTTTCATAAAGCCTCCTTATGTGCCAGAAACGAAGGTCTCCTCGTGCTTCGCAACTGTTGTTGGGGTGGTTTTGTGACCGGAAATTTCCGGGCCAGGGGTCGAGACGGAGGCCAGTGGCCAGCGGATCGGGAACTGCCGGGAAAGGGCTGAGGCCCGTCCCAAAGGCCTGTCAAGACGAAGGGCTCCCATCCAGGTAAGGTCCAGACTCAGGCCGATCTGAAAGGGCCCCGCCAGCAAGGGCCACTGCACCTGTCCGGGAGGGGGCGGGTGGTTTTGGTTGCGCGCTCTGCCTTGCTGATGTCTTGCTTGCTCCTTGATGGGATGCCGGGGGCCGAGGTCAAGTCACTGTCCGTGCTGTCGCAGGCACGTTGAGGGTGCTCTTGCGTCAAGAGTTCTTCTCACTGTGAACCCACTGGAACCGTTTGATCTTGTGCAGTACGCTGGCTCACGTCTCCCAGCACGTAGTAGACTTGTTCCTTCTATAAGCCCTCAAGCCCCATATGAGGGTTTTCGATAAACGTGACCCCTAATAGGAACCCCCACAGAGAAGGATCCCCCTACAGCAAGGACCCCCAAAAGGTAGTGCTGCTCGTGCGGTGGAAGGTCACGGTGGGCTCGCAGCTCGAAGTGCAGAAACCTCAGTCACCCCGTGAGCCCATGGAGCCCAAGGGTTTGCGCGATGGGAATCATCCATCGCACCTGCCTCATGGGCCTTGAGTGTTACATTTAGGTGACTGTCAAGGTTGCAAGGGCTTGTTGCCCGGTTTCTTGCCTATTCGAGTGTTGTGTTCGGGTTGACACTCGGAGGTGCACGTCGCGGGTGCTAAAGTCGCTGCGAATATACCATGAGATCTCCTGAGTTCCGTCGCATCACCATCCTACTAAGCCCCCATACTTTCTGCATCCGGAGCCTGTAAGAAGGGTCGGCGAGAGTGTCGGCGAGTGCTGAGAAGTCCCGGAAGCGACAGACGCAGACGCAGGCTTTGCATGCTCGCTGTGCGCAGCGGGGAGGCCCTCAGCAGCCAGGGCCCTTAGCGGCCTAGCGCCACAGTCTATGTACAAACAGGGGTATATGGGCCTCGCCTGTGAATTTCATCTTCTTGTGGGGCTGCCTGTCGTCCGAGGTCCTTTCCTTGACACGCTGCTGCCGCACAGTAGGCTCCCCGACGGGTTTCCTGAGAATTGTCAAAGGGCGAAGGAGGTAGTGCAATTGAAGGCATGGCAACCTTCTGGGTTCGTTCCCCTCTCATGCTCGGCAGCACGCTCTGCAAGAGCTCGGCACGCCACTTTTGGCCAGGATCAAAGTGTTGGAACTGGCCCCCGAGCTGGCAGCTGAGCTTTTTCTCTTGCGGAGATGTATTGTCCGAGAAGAGGAGGGAGAGGAGGGCAAAAGGCAGAGAGGAAGAGCCTCGAAGAGCTTCGATGTCTGTGGACTCTTGGCATGGGATGCAAGGTCTGCATCTCTGCAGAGGAGTTGCCACATATGAGCTGTTGTTCATGCGAAGTTGGGGGGGGGGTTGTTGGGTGAGCTCCCTGGACTCTGTGAAGCCTGGCATCCTGGCCGCATGCAGGAGGGCCCTGGTGTCAACTCTGATAGCCGAGCCCGTGGCCTAGCCGTTGCTGCTTCGATCTGCTGAAACGGCTCCCAAAATTGGTTCCGACATAGCGCCATTATATAGGTTGTCTAGAAACCCTGAAAGGAGCTGAAAACTCTTGATGTATAGTCCCATATCCCATAGGAAAGAGCCCCGAAGTTGAAGAGCTGACTTTCGAGGCCCAACGAGGAGCACATCCAGGGCTGGGCCGCGGCCTCACACCCCTTTTCCCCCCTCCCCTCCCCCCTTGGCCCCCCCCCCCCCCCCCCCCCCCCGCCCTCCGCGGGTTTACGGCGTAGGGCTTTGCCGGAGAAAGAGAGCGCTGGTGCAAGGTCAGCCTCTCCAGCTCCACGGGGGCCCTCTTGGTCAGGCACCTCGGCAACTCTGAATCTGGCATTGCGTGATTCGTCTCCAAGTACTATCCCAAAAATGACTCCGATCCTCGAGTTTGGCAGTTGTCATGTGCGGGAGGGGTTGAAAATTAGGCTCAGTCCTACACTGGAAGGCCGAAACCCTCACCCCTTATGAGCCCTAGACCTTACCAAGCCCTTACATAAACCCCATAAGACCTCAAACTGCAAAAGCCTTTAAGAACCCCCCAAAGGGACCAAGGGCCGCGAGCCTCCCTTCGGAAAGGTTACAGCAAGGGAAGGAGAGGGGTGAGACCCAATTGCCACGGGGCCCTTCAGCAGAATCTCTGAGCCCCAAAGCAGAAGGGAACTGACCGACCTTGGAATCTTCTCCTGGAAGCTCTGTTCATGGACACTGGCCAGCGTACTCTGATGCCGTGTGTTCAGGTTGAGGGCTGAGATGCCCCGGGCAATGACAGTAGGGCTTACAAAGGACTTACGGGGATTACATGACCAAGAGGACGCAGCAGGAAGCAAAACCGCACCAGCATCTGAAACGATTCCAGTTCCCTAAACCCTAAACCCTAAACCCTAAACCCTAAACCCTAAACCCTAAACCCTAAACCCTAAACCCTAAACCTGAGTCCTGAGTATGGAGGTTCATGAAGGCCGGCACCGCCATGGCCAAGCTCCCGAAGGGGCACGGCAAGCCTTCTGCCAACGAGGCGGGGTGAAGGGATGAGTTTGTTGGTATAAAGCTTGAAAAGCCTCCTAAACATCCCCATGGACAGCCTCCACCCCCCCCCCCCCCTTCCAGCAGCCAACGCTTAGAAGGCCTCAAAGCTCCCTTTAACCACGCGGGCCGTTTCTTCTGACCTCTGAGCCGCAGCCCGATTGTGCCAGGGCAACGACCACGATGCGACTGATGCGAGGAAGCGCGTTCACATGGTCCAGCTGGCATATTGCTACTACTGCAGCAGTGTGAGGCTCTACATTCTGCGATTCGCCGCAAACGGCAGAACTCCCATGAATGGCGATTGACCTTAAAATTGAGGGCAATGTACTTGCAGGTGTAGCGGATTCGGTTGTATTGACTTCGTTTCCGAGAAATTCCTTGGCAGAGGCAAATGTTCTAGTTTTGTGCAGGATTGGTCTTCTGATCGAGTGTTGGGGTGGCTTTGTGTAATGGTCGGGGTTTGGGTCTATACTATGTTTCTGGGTAGAAATGAGCGCAAGAACGTGGACATGGCCAACTGCCATGGCTAACTTGGATTGGGGGTCAGATCTGACCATTGGGCCTTTGTTGGTACCTTCGGCTTGAGGTACACGATAGCAATCCATCAGCTCGAGGTCAGAGCGCCATACACTGGTGTCTGAAATCTGTGACTTCTGCACAGCAAGGAGCTTCAATATTTCCTACAGTACAGTAAGCCGTAGTAAGCCATAGTAAGCCCTTAAAACCCTGCACAAGTAGCCTACAACAACCAGGTAGCTCAGAGCTGGCCAGGTGACACGGCTGCTGGAGCTGGCGAGGAGCTGTTGCGACCATGAAGCTCTCCTTGCGTGATCCGTTCGATTCGTAACAAGGTATACACGTGAAAGGTGGAAATCGTACGTGTATGTGTATATATGTATATAAAGCGGTTTTGGTTCACATGCTTACTATATATGCGAGCTAGAAGTCCTCAGTGGCAAGCTGCTTGCTAGCAAGCTGCTTGCTGCAAATGCATGGAGGGCCAACGGATCTTTGCTTGGGATTCAGGATAGTCTCCCCTGGCATCCCTGGACACGTTAAGCTAAATCCTCAAAGCAGAAAGGCTTCCATTCAACCCCGCGGAAAAGTTTTTCTATTGAACCTATGAGTCCTTACACCCTACATCCTCAAACCCTAAACCCTTAACACCCTTAAAGCACTGAAACCCCTACAAGCCCTACAACCCTTCAAAAACCTGTGAGGGCTGGCGACTTGGAGGGCTTCAGGGCGATTGCTGAGGCCGGAGGAAGTTCGTGCGGCTGTGTTCGCATGGGGCGGGTTTAGTCTCTGAGGGGTTAGGCTTTTCGCTTCTGAGGGTTTATAGGGCTAGGGTGCATATGGGGGAATGGCTGGGGGCGATAGTACGGTCTCGGGCTTACCCTGGAGGTGCAGATGGTCACGTTTTCCGTTTGTATGTTCCACAAAACACGATTTTTCTTGACAACGCCGCATTGTGACTTTAGATTCTGGCAGAGGATTGACTTCCACGCAGCTCTTTCATCTTGATCAACAAACCCACGCGGTTCTCCAAATCATTGCATTATCCCTTATAGAGCCTGAGCTCTGTAAGCCCTACCCTCTCTCGGGAATGCAATCTGGAGACAGGCCGCGCGCAACAGCGCGGTCGCCAAGAGGTTTTGCACGCCCGGCCTTGCCTGTATCTTGAGTTGCTGACGCTGTAAGCCGACATGGAAAGCGATACCCGCTCCGGCCATGTTGTTTTTTTGGGGGGGGCGGGTCTTCCGCCACCCAGGCGAGGAGCGCTCGCCAATGTCACCGTCGAAGTCGGAGACCCAGCGACATTGAGATCTGACTCTCCAAAGCGCAGGGCCGGTCGATTGCCGCCAGGAATGCGCACACGCTAATCAACCGCAGCGACATCCGTGGTCGCACGGCTCTGATGTATGCCTCTGCCATTGGCAGCCGAGACATCGTTGGGAACTCAGTGCTTGTCGGCGACTGTGCATCACGAAACCAGCTCAGTCTAAGCACAGACAAAGCGTAGGTGCCACGTAATTAGTCGGCATGGCGCAGGTTGATTACCTCCTGAGCACGGGGGAGGCAGCTTCAACGGGTCTGCTCCATTCACAGCGTAGCACTGCAAGAAGATTCATGGTACCCGCCTGTCCTCCAAAGTTCTGAATCCCAGGCTCACTGCAGCAAAAGCCTCACGCAACTGGCACATGGGGATGTAACATTCAATTGCTTAAGGATGTTAAGGCCCTCCATGTGTCTCTTGGACTGTTTCTTTTCTTGGTTGGGTGGTCGTGGCTCTGACGCCGCTGTTATCGCCTCCGCCTCCCTTGGAGTTGGAGCGGCTGAGCATGCATTCATCGCAGGTACGAGTGCTCAGTTCTTGCGCACAGGTGTACGTGAATGCCATGGATGACACGCAGAAGACGGCTCTCCATCATGCCGCCAAGAGCTCGAAGGCAGTGGGAGGAGTGACACTGTAAACCGAATGTTTGCGTACTTGCGTTATACCAAAAACTCTCAATTCCATTAAGCCCCAACCCTTATATGCCTTATTCTACACCCGATCGACCCCCCCTGTAGGCGGAGATCCTCCGCCTGCTGCTGCGGGCTGGCGCGATGACGGATGCTCGTGACCACAACGGCTGCACGGCCAGCAGCTTAAAGAGGGAATTAAGAGACAAACAAAACGGCGCATTCAGGGTGAAGTTGCATTGTTTGTCTGAGACTGTATATAGGCTCGATCTCGTAGAGGTGCTGTGTGCAAAGATGTCTTAAAACGGCTGAGGCGCTCATATTTGCGGCAGGCACAGGGGACCCGGATGGTGTGCAGGCAGGGTGTGCTGTTGCGTTGCCTCACAATGACTGGTTCCAGGGCTGCTTCCATACCTATTGCAGACATGCTAAGATTGGGGCCAACCACTTGCCATGCGGCAGCGCGCCTCGCTGTACCCGCGCACTTTTTTCCACAATGCTTGGAAGGTACTCCTGGAGAAGGGAGCGAATCCCAACGCGCGCGACTATCAGGCCACATGGTGTGAGAAACTGAGATGTCCTCATTCAAAAGCTTCGGGCCGGCTTGGAACCTCCCACCCTTGCATAGCTCTTACCTGCGTATCCCTGTCAAGGCCCGATGAACAAACAGGTACACAATCTTAACCTGTCCTCCCAGACATTCCCAAGACGTGCAAGTTGTGCGGCCAGTGCGCAGCCAGGGGAACAGCGCGCTCTCCTATGCCCATGACTTCGATCACAAGGAGGCTTCGATAAGATGTTCGATAAGATGATGCCTAGGGCTGTCACCGTTTTTGCCAGTTGCTTGTTCCCCAGCGAGCTTCTGGGAGTTTATTTTCTGATTTGGCAGCAGCCTCCTCCCCCCCCCCCTCCTCTCCTCGCTGCTTCTTCATATTTGCCTCCTTTCCGTGTGTCATCTCCTGTTTTGTATGCGAAGAATTGTAGACATGTCGGAACATCCTGCCCCTTGAGCCTGCGAGAGGTCATGGAGAAGCTCATCGCGGCCAGGGCCCCAGCGCCTGAGAGGAAGCTTTGAGAGGAAGCTTGAGGAAGCGAGGGACCTCGAGTGCCTCGCGGCATGTCATACTCGACTCTGTGTCCCAGGCCGGGGCTGAGGACGCCGAGGCCCGCTTAGTGGGGTATTTCCTGAGGTGACTGAGGTGTGTCACAGATTCTCATAAGAAGGGCTTTGCCTTTGCAAGCAGTGAGAACTCTGCTCAGGAGGAAGAAGGCGACTCTGCGCTGCCCTCACTACTCTTAAGTCAAGTTGTGAAGCTTGGTGGTGGTTCTCATCTGTTGTTGAATGTGTATACGATATTGCTTCTTCAGTTCAAAAGGTCTTCGGCTACGCCTCATGTCTGCCAAGGTGGTAAAGAGCCGCAAGAAGCGGGTGAGGCCATGGCTGGCAGGTTGAAGAGATTTGGGAACCGTTGAATGCCCGTCAGCTATAAACCGGCCTGAAAAACCCCGACAATGCCCTTCAAGCCCCCTGTCCAAGTTGCACGAAGTATCCATGGCCCGGTAAGCGCTTGAGCGTGGCAGGGCTGAGACTGTGAACCAGGCTGACTTGGCCCACGACTTAACTATCTTCAAGCTGGAATATGATATGTTTGGAGAACCTTCCTCGCCCCCAAACGAGGAAGTGGCGGCCAAGTTGGCTGTGCTGGATGAGGACGAAGAGCTCTCAGAAGAGGACGCCCGTCCGTGGCAGCTGTCGGGGGTGGATAGCGATGTTATTTTGACCCGACACTTCCACTCGAGGGCTGAAAATGTCTGGGAGTTTACGAAAATATGGGATCCCTATAGATACTATGTACGTAGGACCTCTATGTATAGTGTGGGAAATCCCCTTCTGTATGTCTATATATATATATATACTTATAGGTATCTATAATTAAAATGTTTAAGAAATAAAATTTTTAAGTTTTATAAAATTTGCTCTTAAGGCAAAATCTATAAAATTTATAAAATTTATAAAATTTATAAAGCTTCCTTCTAAACATGAGCAAACGAGGCTTTATAAATTTTATAAAAAAAATTTTATAAAATTTATAAAGTTTTGGGTTCAGGCGTCCCGGGAAACCTTTAAAATTTACAAAATTTATAAAATTTATAAAATTTATAAAATTTATAAAGCTTCCTTCTAAACTTGAGCAAACCAGGCCTTATAAATTTTATAAATTTGATAAATTTCACCTTAAAGGGTAAAATTTGTAAAATTTATAAAATTTATAAAGTTTTGGGTTCAGGCGTCCCGGGAAACCTTTAAAATTTATAAAATTTATAAAATTTATAAACTTTATAAAATTTATAAAGCTTCCTTCTAAACTTGAGCAAACCAGGCTTTATAAATTTTATAAATTGTATAAATTTCACCTTAAGGGTAAAATTTATAAAATTTATACAATTTATAAAATTAATAAAAATTTATATAATTTATAAAATTTTTAAAGCTTCCTTCTAAACTTGAGCAAACCAGGCTTTATAAATTTTATAAATTTTGTAAATTTCACCTTAAAGGGTAAAATTTACAAAATTTATAAAATTTATAAAGTTTTGGGTTCAGGCGTCCCGGGAAACCTTTAAAATTTATAAAATTTATAAAATTTATAAAATTTATAAAGCTTCCTTCTAAACTTAAGCAAACCAGGCTTTATAAATTTTATAAATTTTATAAATTTCACCTTAAGGGTAAAATTTATAAGATTTATAAAATTTATAAAGTTTTGGGTTCAGGCGTCCCGGGAAACCTTTAAAATTTATAAAATTTATAAATTCATAGAATTTATAAAATTTATACAGCTTCCTTCTCAACTTGAGCAAACCAGGCTTTATAAATTTTATGAATTTTATAAATTTCACGTTAAAGGGTAAAATTTATAAAATTTATAAAATTTATAAAGTTTTGGGTTCAGGCGTCCCGGGAAACCTTTAAAATTTATAATATTTATAAAATTTATAAAATTTATAAAGCTTCCTTCTAAACTTGAGCAAACCAGGCTTTATAAATTTTATAAATTTTATAAATTTCACCTTAAGGGTAAAATTTATAAAATCTGTAAAGTTTTGGGTTCAGGCGTCCCGGGAAACCTTTAAAATTTATAAAATTTATAAAATGTATAAAATGTATAAAGCTTCCTTCTAAACTTGAGCAAAGCAGGCTTTATAAATTTTTTAAATTTTCTAAATTTCACCTTAAAGGGTAATATTTATAAAATTGATAAAATTTATAAAGTTTTGGGTTCAGGCGTCCCGGGAAACCTTTAAAATTTATAAAATTTTTATAAAATTTATAAAGCTTCCTTCTAAACTTCAGCAAACCAGGCTTTATAAATATTTTATAAATTTTACCCTTAAGGTGAAATTTATAAAATTTATAAAGCCTGGTTTGCTCAAGTTTAGAAGGAAGCTTTATACATTTTATAAATTTTATAAATTTTAAAGGTTTCCCGGGACGCCTGAACCCAAAACTTTATAAATTTTATAAATTTTACCCTTTAAGGTGAAATTTATAAAATTTATAAAATTTATAAAGCCTGGTTTGCTCAAGTTTAGAAGGAAGCTTTATAAATTTTATAAATTTTATAAATTTTATAAATTTTATAAATTTTATAAATTTTATAAATTTTATAAATTTTATAAATTTTATAAATTTTATAAATTTTATAAATTTTAAAGGTTTCCCGGGACGCCTGAACCCAAACTTTATAAATTTTATAAATTTTACCCTTTAAGGTGAAATTTATAAAATTTATAAAATTTATAAAGCCTGGTTTGCTCAAGTTTAGAAGGAAGCTTTATAAATTTTTATAAATTTTATAAATTTTATAAATTTTATAAATTTTAAAGGTTTCCGGGGACGCCTGAACCCAAAACTTTATAAATTTTATAACTTTTATAAATTTTACCCTTAAGGTGAAATTTATAACATTTATGAAGCCTGGTTTGCTCAAGTTTAGAAGGAAGCTTTATAAATTTTATAAATTTTATAAATTTTATAAATTTTATAAATTTTATAAATTTTATAAATTTTAAGGGTTTCCCAGGACGCCTGAACCCAAAACTTTATAAATTTTATAAATTTTACCCTTTGAGGTGAAATTTATAAAATTTATACAATTATAAAGCCTGGTTTGCTCAAGTTTAGAAGGAAGCTTTATAAATTTTATAAATTTTATAAATTTTATAAATTTTATAAATTTTATAAATTTTGTAAATTTTAAAGGTTTCCCGGGACGCCTGAACCCAAAACTTTATAAATTATATAAATTTTATAGATTTTACCCTTTAAGGTGAAATTTATCAAATTTATAAAATTTATAAAGCCTGGTTTGCTCAAGTTTAGAAGGAAGCTTTATAAATTTTATAGATTTTATAAATTTTATAAATTTTATAAATTTTAAAGGTTTCCCAGGACGCCTGAACCCAAAACTTTATAAATTTTATAAATTTTACCCTTAAGGTGAAATTTATAAAATGTATAAGATTTATAAAGCCTGGCTTGCTCAAATTTTCAAGGAAGCTTTATAAATTTTATAAATTTTATAAATTTTAAAGGTTTCCCGGGACGCCTGAACCCAAAACTTTATAAATTTTATCAATTTTATACATTTTACCCTTAAGGTGAAATTTATAAAATTTATAAAATTTATAAAGCCTGGTTTGCTCAAGTTTAGAAGGAAGCTTTATAAATTTTTTAAATTTTTTAAATTTTATAAATTTTAAAGGTTTCCCGGGACGCCTGAACCCAAAACTTTATGAATTTTATAAATTTTACAAATTTTACCCTTTAAGGTGAAATTTATAAAATTTATAAGATTTATAAAGCCTGGTTTGCTCAAGTTTAGAAGGAAGCTTTATAAATTTTATAAGCTTTATACATTTTATAAATTTTATAAATTTTAAAGGTTTCCCGGGACGCCTGGACCCAAAACTTTATAAATTTTAAAATTTTATAAATTTTCCCCTTAAGGTGAAATTTATAAAATTTATAAAATTTATAAAGCCTGGTTTGCTCAAATTAGTTATAAATTTTATAAATTTTAAAGGTTTCCCGGGACGCCTGAACCCGAAACTTTATAAATTTTATAAATTTTCCCCTTAAGGTGAAATTTATAAAATTTATAAAAATTTATAAAGCCTGTTTTGCTCAAGTTTAGAAGGAAGCTTTATAAATTTTATAAGCTTTATACATTTTATAAATTTTATAAATTTTAAAGGTTTCCCGGGACGCCTGGACCCAAAACTTTATAAATTTTAAAATTTTATAAATTTTCCCCTTAAGGTGAAATTTATAAAATTTATAAAATTTATAAAGCCTGGTTTGCTCAAATTAGTTATAAATTTTATAAATTTTAAAGGTTTCCCGGGACGCCTGAACCCGAAACTTTATAAATTTTATAAATTTTCCCCTTAAGGTGAAATTTATAAAATTTATAAAAATTTATAAAGCCTGTTTTGCTCAAGTTTAGAAGGAAGCTTTATAAATTTTATAAGCTTTATACATTTTATAAATTTTATAAATTTTAAAGGTTTCCCGGGACGCCTGGACCCAAAACTTTATAAATTTTATAAATTGCCCCCTTAAGGTGAAATTTATAAAATTTATAAAATTTATAAAGCCTGGTTTGCTCAGTTTGAGAAGGAAGCTTTATAAATTTTATAAATTTTAAAGGTTTCCCGGGACGCCTGAACCCAAAACTTTATAAATTTTAAAAATTTTACAAATTTTACCCTTAAGGTGAAATTTATAAAATTTATGAAATTTATAAAGCCTGGTTTGCGCAAGTTTAGAAGGAAGCTTTATAAGTTTTATAAATTTTATAAATTTTATAAATTTTATAAATTTTATAGATTTTAAAGGTTTCCCGGGACGCCTGAGCCCAAAACTTTATAAATTTCATAAATTTTTTTACTAATTTTACCCTTAAGGTGAAATTTATAAAATTTATAAAATTTATAAAGCCTGGTTTGCTCAAGTTTAGAAGGGCGCTTTTTAAATTTTATAAATTGTATAAATTTTAGAGATTTTATAAATTTTATTAAATTTAAATGTTTCCCGGGACGCCTGAACCCAAAACTTTATAAATTTTATAAATTTTACAAATTTTACCCTTTAAGGTGAAATTTATCAAATTTATAAAATTTATAAAGCCTGGTTTGCTCAAGTTTAGAAGGAAGCTTTATAAATTTTATAAATTTTTAAAAAATTTTATAAATTTAATAAATTTTAAGGTTTCCGGGGACGCCTGAACCCAAAACTTTATAAATTTTATAAATTCTATAAATGTTACTCTTAAGGTGAAATTTTATAACTTATAAAGCCTGGTTTGCTCAAGTGTAGAAGGAAGCTTTATAAATTTATAAACTTATACATTTAAGAAAGTTTATAAGTTTTATGAATTTTACAGTTTCCCGGGACGCCTGAAACCCAAATTTTTTTATAAGTTGTATAAATTTTATACATCTTACCCTTTAAGGTGAAATTTAAAAAAAAATTATATAAAATTTATGAAATTTATACAGTTTATAAAGCCTGGTTTGCTCAAGTGTAGAAGGAAGCTTTATAAATTAAATACTTTAAATAGTTTAAATAATTTATTCACGGAAGTGATACTCATGTAAAACAATCCCATTACTTCAACGAATTAAGCTATTTAACGAGACTTCTTCACTTCAAACTCTCCCGCGTCCCTGATGAAGTATGTCCCCTGTGAGGGCTTGGAATTCGTTTGCTTGCGAAGGGGTGCGGGGATGAGGCGGAAAAAGGAATAATGAAATTATTTAAATCATGTGAATTATATAAATTATTGAAATTATTTAAATGGTCTGGCTGTTGGAGGAATGAATTTATTTGAATAATTAAATTCTTGAGGCCCCAAAATATTTTAAATAATTAAACTGTTTAAATTATTTGAATTATATTTGGGGCCTACCGAATGTAATTATTCAAATAAATTCATTCCTCCCGAATGTAATTATTCAAATAAATTCATTCCTCCAACAGCCAGACCGTTCAAATAATTTAAATATTTCAAATAATTTAAATCATTGAAATAATTTAAATAAATATTTTAATTATTCAAATCCCTGATTTGAATACTTAAATTCTTTTGGGAGGCCGCAGAATTTAAATCATTTAACTATTTAAGTCCCTGATTTGAATAATTAAATTCTTTTGGGAGGCCCCAGAACTTACATACGTTAATTACTCAAATCCCTGATTTGAATAATTAAATTCTTTTGGGGGGCACCAGAATTAAATTATTTTATAAGTGTTACAAATTTTGTTTTTTTGCATTATTAACTTCTGGTATTCAATTCTTTTCACCACCCAGAATTCATTCCAGAGGTTACAATATTAATACGAGAATGAAGTGAACATGTGAACGAATGAACGGGGCATTCTTTGTGTTCTCTTTTTGCGCGCCCACTATTATCTTCTTTCAACTAATCTCAACAGATACAGTGAATGAAATGAACGTGTGATCTGTGATTTAGCGAAAGAAAGAAGATAATGGGGGCGTTCATTTCACTTTGTTCATTCACTTTCTATTTTAGTATTTTGGATTCTTAGGGTAGACTCGATTATTAAGGGAAGCTTTTTAGGGTAGCCTGTATTCTTAGGGCTGAGTTCTTGTTTGGTGGTGGCCTGGATTTTTAGGATAGCTTGGATTCTTAGGGGTGGCCTGTATTCTTACGGTGAGCCTGGATTCTTAGGCTTGAGCTTGCTTTTTGGTGGTAGCCTGGTGTTTTAGAGTAGCCTGGGTTCTTAAGGTAGCCTGGATTCTTGGGGTAGCCCATTCTTAGGGTTGTGTTTTTTTGTTTTGGTGGTAGCCTGGATTCTTAGGGTAGCTTTGGATTCTTAGGGTAGCCCAAATTCTTAGGGTCCAATCTAAGGGATAGAGAAAGGCCTTCAAAGCTTTTATTGAGGGTAAAGGAGAGATCTCAAGAAAAAAGGTAGTAGAGCTCCGTCGTTGCCTATGAAGCGACAAATGGGCTTCTCTTATTGCTTGAGAAACATTTCTGAAACACAGAAATTGTAGAGAACTCTCTTTCATTTCCTGCAAAAAGATAGAGGAGGTCTCTCATGACCTATTGCGAGAGACAGAAGCTCTTTCAGGTAAAAAATAGGAAACGGTAGAGCTGAGAATTTCTCTACCTATTGACGAGACACAAAAGAGAGGGCGTGAGAGAGCTCTTACGATTTCTTTTGTATTACCAATGCAATCTTTCTATCTCTGAGTAGGAGACGAAAGAAGAGCCTTCTATCTTCTCATAGGAATCAAAAGAAGTCCTGTGTAGGAAACGAAGAGACCTTTGATAAACAAGAACAAAAGAATGGAAACGAATCGACGTCATCCTCTCTGTTTATTTATAATAAGAGATGGGGCATTAAGAGCTCCTCTATTCTTTTGGAAATGGAATAACTTGTGTCCCTCCTGAGTGGAGGATCTCTCTTTCGAAGACATCAGAGATCCCCTCTATGCCCCTCTGTCTCGCAATCGGAAATGAGAGAGCCCATTCCCCCCCCCCCCCGCCCCCCTACCTTCTCATAGCAAATGAAAAACGGAAATGAACGATGTCCTCGATCTGTTAATGCAGAATGAGAGACCTCTCTGTCTCCTAATGGAACATGAAAAACCTCATGTATTTTATTTTCAATAAAAGATCCCTCTCTCGAGGAAATGAGAGATCCTTCCCGATATCTCTTTCTAGGAAACACTTCTTCAAGTGGGAGAAAGACTTTTGCAAGATTACGCAGTCCAACCCCACCTCGCGTTGCCTGTTATTGCAAGATTACGCAGTCCAACCCCACCTCGCGTTGCCTGTTAAAAACTACTCCCAGCCCCTAAAAATCCGGGGTGAAGGGCCTACCGCTACTTGTGAGGAACCTGATGCTCGGGATCAGGTGTTGGAACTTGTCTTCTGTGTCCCAGACCGGCAGAAGAGAGACGATGTGTGTGCATGTTCAAGATGTCTCGTAGACCACGCCCTACGAAGCTGCAGCGGCTGCAAGACCATATCGGCTGGAAATGCTGACGTGCTCTGCTGGTTTGAAGTTTCTTGTGCGCCTTGGCCCCAGCAATGCAGCCTGCCATGAGGAATAAGGGTAAATAAGGCTAAGGAGCTCTGTCATTCCCTAAAGAAAGAAGGAGAGCGGGGATACCTTGGAGGAGCCTTTTCAGAAGAGACTCATCCCCTTCAAAGAGACAAAGGAGCTTTCAGATGACCCATGTAAAGATAGAATAGACTCTCTCACATAAACGATAGAAACTGATGAGTTGTGTAATGTCCCCACTTAAGGAGTAAAGAAAGGCCTTCACATGTTTAGTTGTTTTATTTAGGGTAAAGGAGAGATCTCTCGTAAAAAGTTCGAAGGGCTTTGTCATTTCTTATGAAGAGATAAAGGGCTTCTCTTATGACCTCTTCATTGATAGAGAAGCTATTTCTGAAAAAACTGACATAGTAGAGAACTCTCTTTCTTTTCCTTCGCAAAGCTAGCGGAGGCCTCTCATGACATATTGCGAGACTGAGATAGAAGATAGGAGATCGTAGAGATGTGAGCTCCCCTACCCAGTGTCGGGAGATTAAGACGCTCTTATTCGTTTGCGAAAGAGTTACTCTATCTCTGAGTAGGAGATGAAATAGCTCCTGTATCTTCTCATAGAAAATGAAAGAACACTTGTGTTTTTTGTGTTTGTTATATGGTTACACCAGATTGACCAGCAGCCTCGCCCACCTTGTGCCAGTGTGAGAGTCGAAACTTCATTTCCGGGTGGAATATGACAACGACTACTACGTAATGAAGACATCTTGTACAACCAGTGCTTTGAGCGAAAAATGTCTTGAAGATTTCAACAGCCATACGTCAGATATATATATATATATATGCACTCATGTATAAATCTATGTCACATACTTATTCTGTGTTTTGTAAGGGCAGGTTTTCGTGCCCACCTTTTATTTCAGATTCTTGTTTACGAGTGTCTACAGAGGCAAGATTCAATGTTTGATTCGGGGTTTTTTTCAACTTCAGGGCAACACAAGTTGTGTTTACTTTGGTTTGGACTTTGGACCTTGGATTGAAGTGTTTGTAAAGGCAGAGTTAAACTTGTATTCTTGGTTGAAAATGTCTTTCTAAAGGTTTTGTCCGCGTTGCAGAAGTTAATGTTTGCATTTGGTTTAGTGTTGTGTTCAAGGGAATTTGCGAGGAGGAACTTGCAATTTACGATCGGTTTGATATTCGGTTTAGTGAAAATCTACTTGCACAGACAAGTTTTAAGATTGAAAAAAAAGCGGTTCCCACATTGTACGTAAAGGTCCATGGCACATAGATACTATAGACCCCCTTATAAGGACCCCAGTTAAAGGTACCCCTCATTTCGGAAGCCGCCATGTTGAATGGGTTCTTTTCCCCAGGAGCAGCGGCGCACCGCTGCTGAGGGCCGGCTCAGGGAAGTCCTCGCGCGGACCTTGGCGCTACCTACAGGCTTCGGACGAATGTGGGTTGAGGACTTAGGGACTACACGGTCTGTGTGGGTCTGCAGTCTACAGGGGTTTGAGGGATTGGGGCATAGAGATTCCGAAAATTTCATACCACTGAACTCACGTTGCTAAACAGGTTGACCTTCCTCGCATACAGGGTTTCCATGTCCCTCGTCTATGCCTTTCGACCGGCCATGGCACAGTGAGGTCATATTTCGCAAGGTGTAAGGCTCTAGTTTCCTAGAGCTTCGGAACAAGCCTCTGAGATACCTGCAAGTAACATTAATTCATGGGAACTCCCCAAAAAGGACGGCGCAACACTGGCGCGAGACTTGGAGGCGAGCCTGCGCGTGGCAGCCACTCTTCTGGAGGGGGGGGGGTGTTGTTGTTCTAAAACAATGGGGCCCCTTTGCTTTTCTGAGCTGTGTTTTTTGTTTGCTTTTCCCGCGCGATCAACTTAGTGTACCCGTAGAAGGTGACCCCTTAGAGCTTGGAGAGTTCAATCCTGACATCCTTTGGGTTTCGGGATTAATCTAGGACTTTTGTTCGGAGAGGTATCGTCTGGGTTAGTTGGGGCATTTACATCCACAACGCGTGATATCCCTTTTCGGGACCTAACTAGGTGGCCCCTGAGCGCCTCCGAGATGCCCCAAAAAAGGCTGCGGCAGCTGTACTAAACCTGAAGCCCCCCCAGTCAATCACAGAATGGCCAGATGGAAAGCTTTGGGATTCACGTGGCTGCATCAATAGGGGCCTTCTGGATGGAGCGTCTTACAACTCTTTGCCTCGAAGGCGGCCTTGGAGGAGGCATCGCAAGCTCAGGCGCCGGACACAGTATTTGCCAGGAGAGATATGTAATGTATATATGTATACACAGAAAAATGCATACACGTATCCTTATATGTATCGTATGTAAACGGATTTTTTGTTCCTCCATGTCTTCCCAGATGCTGAAGAAAAGGGCGCCTCTGGTTAACTCCGTTTCCTTCTTCAGTGAACCACGCTCTCCCCGCACACCTTGAGAATGCTTTAAGAGGTGCTCCAAGCCAACGCTTTGCATCCTCCTGTTGAAGCACAGAGGTTTCTTTCAAGCAGGAATGCTGCATCGAGATGCTACTGTACTGCGCTTCATCACGTGAAGTCTGCCTTGCCATGGTGTCGTCCAGTGAGGTCGAAGATGAGTCGCTGCTTGCTAGTGCAAGGTCGCGAGTGCAAGAGCTCAAGGACAGCAGAGCCACACTTAACCCTTTGCGCAGAAGTGATTGGTGAGAGAGATGTTCCAAACGCATCCAAACGCATTCTCAAAGCAGAAGCCAGTGCCTCGCGACAGGAGAGGGATGACGCAAGCGACCACTTGGCAGCAGCTGTGCAAGAGCTAAAGCCTCACCGTGCACCTGAAGTCACTGAAGGGTGGGCCGTGTTTTTTTGGAAACCCGAGGGCCCGTCAGGGCTGCCGCAGCCCAGAGGGTCTCCATGGCTTGCAAGAGGCCGCACTTACCTTTTTTTCCTTTCCAGCCAGTGTGCCTTGTGTGCAGCTTCTGTCTCCGGGCAGGCACTGCAGAGAGCCAAGGCCAAAGGTGCTTGGCTCGGATCCAGCACATTGACGGATCCACCTTGTGCCCAAAAAGAAATCATCTCGTGAGCCATCCACAGCCTCTTTTTTTGAAGGCGTTTCCGAGAAGGAGCTGCAGGACGGCGAGCAGGCCCCGCCCACCCCCCCTCGTGTGCCCCAACTGTTTTGCTGTCATGCCGATAGAGCCGAGAGGGCTTTGGGCCCCTTCGAAACATTCTAAACGGTTCACAAGGTGCAGCTAGACCATGGCACCAATTCTCAGTTGATGATAATCTGATAGTCGCAACAGTGACGAAAGCCCCCCCTCCTCGAGCGACATGCGAAACCCTCAAAAAACCTCGCTCCAGGTCCTGGCCGAAGAGATGCCTCGCGCGCAGGCGCTCCTGTCCGGCCTCACGCTGCGCGCAGTGGGGGGATGTTCACTTGGCGGTGTCGTGTAGGCCCGGCAGCAGCTCCGCGACGCCCAGGCCAAGGGCACCAGCCAGGGCCCCAGGGCCTCCGAACGAGACATAGTCAGGTGACAGGTGAAATCGACGCAGACATATCACCTCCCTTTGACAGACCCTGACCCGATCTGAAGGATTTCATCTCCAGGTGCCTTGCGCGAGGCGATCGCTGTGGCCAAGACGACACACCTTCCGGCAGAGGAGCTGGTCCCCTTCGAGGCTCCCGAGGGGAGCACACGGCTTCGAAGCCTTGCTCGTCTCATACGAACTCTTGATTACATCCTACAATGCCCTTACGCAACGAATCCCATCTTAAGCCCCCTATAAGCCCTGCAAGCCCTTCCACTCTCCAGGAGCTGCTGCAAGGCGCCGAGTCCAAAGAAGCCGCAGCTGCCCAGACCTCGGGAGCTGACGTGAAAAAGCAAGTCGCCTGCAACGAGCTTCTGTAAGATATGAGTGACTTGTTTATATTTCTGAGTTCATTCTAACATCCGAAACCGCCAGTTTTTTGGTACTTTCATAATTAAGTGGTGGCAGGCTTGAGTTTCCAAGCCCATCCGTATGGTCTCACGTAGACTGTGAGCCTTCCCGTCTCACATTGCTCTCTACCAGGAGGGCGAACTGTTATTAGGCAGATGCAAGTGACTTCTATTCAAGTTAAGCAGAACTTAGCGAAGTGGTTTAGAAGTGGTTTATAAGTGACTTATATGTTCAGGATAAGTTCTAACAGAAAAGCGCGGTTTCATTATTTTGACTCGCACCGAGCCAGCTGGATATTCCTTAAATTGCTTAAATCCCGGCACGCCTGCTCAGAATTTTTTCATACGTTGGGCAAGTGGTCCGCGCATGGCAGCAAGCTCCTAGAAAAGCCACGTCACACTCGAACCTTCGGTTCTCCACCAAGAGGGCATCGTCACATTGGTAGAGGAGCTAACTCGAAAGCAACGAGACTCTGCTGTAGCAAGAAGCAAACCTCCCCAAGGCTTGCTCTGAAGCTTCTGCAAAACTTGAAGCACAAGCAGGAAGCCTTCGTCATCCTTCAAGCATTCCTGGACAACCCCAGGAACTGTCTCGACCAGCACCATGTCAGAGACGCGCACAGTAATGCTTTCCAGGCACATGCCAGAGGCACTCTGGCAGTTCGGGCGCTCGGCGTGCTGTGCGATCTGTCCCTGGAGAACATTCGTGGCGAGGGTGGTTTTCCTCTCCACGCGTGACAGCTGTTCCAGAAACATGCGTGTCAGCAGAGCACTTGCAAACGGAACGGGCCTGTTCACGTCCCCAATGTGGGCAGAGGCGAGCCTGTTTTTGAAGCTGCGGTGTTTGCTTTCGTGTGTCTCCGTGTGTATTGCGCAAGCCAAGTGAACCAGTTGAGATGGGAGGTGGAGCCGATGGTGATGTTTCGGCTTGCAGGCCGAAACACCATACGCTTCCTTGAAGAGTTCCTGGTGCACCCATTGCTGTCGCTCGAGCTGAAGCTTCCAGTCTTGCGAGGGTGCCTGCGCTGAGCGGCAGACGTGACGCAACAGGCGATGGCAGCCAATGAGGGCTGTGAAGCTGGCTCGCTCCTTGACCATGAGGTCGCACCGGTTTCCTAACAGCTCGTGCACGTAGTAGTTCAGCAAAGGCAGAAAGCTCTGCGTTTGCTGGGCGCTTCCTTTGTACGTCTCCTCGCCGAAAAGTTTGGCCGACCACAAGGACGCCATGTAGCTCTTGGAGTTGTGCTGGCTCACAGCCGGCCCCTTCCAAGGTGCTGCCTTGCAGACGGCAGCCAAGTCCTCCAAGGGAAGGCCCACCTTGCCCAAAGCACAAAGCAGCCGCTGCAACTCCCAGTTGGCACAGCCATTGCTATAGTAGCAGTGCATGATGTCGTTGCACACTTTGGATATAGGCATCCGAGCAGAGGCTTCGGCATCAAAGAGTAAGCCATCAGGCGTGCACGCAAGTCCCAACGCCTTCTCCAAGCGCTGCAGACTGGCCTTGGAGCCATGCTGGGCCTCGTGCTGCAGCGCACGGACAGCCTCTCCCACGTCTGCGTCTGTCGTCAAGCTGAACTTCCTGACATCCCCTTCCTCGCAGCCGAAGAAGCCGGGGACGGAAGTAGGCCCTCTCAGCGCATTCGTGCACAACGTGCAGCACCGAGTGCCGGCTGAGCCCTTCATCTGGAAGGTGGCCCTTATGGCATCGTTGTCAGCCAGAAAAAAAGCCTCCGGCCCGAGCTTCAAGTGCACGACCTCCGCACCGACAGAGACCGCGAAACCCGCCACAGCTTCAGAAGACAGAAGTTCCTTGACGGCTTCGCGCATGAACGCGCTCAGGCCACCAGCGGCTCGCTCCAACTGTGCGTGCGTGGCCATGGCGACCGCCAGCCACGCATCCTCTCGTCTGAGCACAGCGGAGCCGAACTCCACGAACGAAACGTATACCAAACTTGCTTTGAGGACTTTGAGGGGCCCCAGCACGTTGCCCGCCTGTGCCTCGTCGTTGTACAGTATAGCCGTGAGTGTTCGCCCCTCCCTGCTTGCTGCCCGCACCAGCGAGCCGTAAGCGGGGCTGTCACAGCAAGCTCGCGCCAAAAGCCTGGGGAGATTAGCCACTAGAATCTCCTCTGTCCCCTCTCGGCCGACGAAAGCACGCACCTGGAAGCAGGCCCGCACGGGGCAGCGCGCTTCCTGCGACGCGGCGCGCAGAACTCCGCGGCCGATCTGCGGGATTCTTTCAGTTCCCTCTGCTACCACGTTCCACACAGCTCTCACTGCCTGTTCTGACGCATTTGGTAGCAGCAGACACCGCTGCAGCCGGCGCCTCTGGTCCTCGTTGAGCTGGCGCTTCCCCCGCATTGCCGGACAGGGCCTCCCAGCTACACAACTTGTTTTGATCCCGCGCGGCAGTCGGGCGTGTATAAGGCTTGGATGCTTCGGGTAAGGGTTTGGGGTCGAGGCTTTAATCGGGATTGCATATAGGTTTGGGTGTACAATTTCAGGTTTCGGGTTCGGGTTTAGCCCTTCAAAGCCTGTAAGCCTAGACACCCTCTAATTATACACCTTTCTTGAACCCGACACCCTTAAACCCCAAACCCTATAATATAGACAGCACAGTCAGGGTCTTTATTATAGGGTCTACATGGTTAAGGGCCTAAACCCTATTGGCCCTATAGAGACCCTATAAACCCCAAAGCCTATAAACCCTGAACCCTAAACCCTAAACCCTTATAAAGACTATTCCAACCGTATATACAACCCTATGTGCACGTTTGCACCCTGGCGGGAGTGCGACAAGAGCAGGCCTTCTTTCTGCACCCCCTCCTTTCAAGCCGTTATGAGAGTCAAAAGCTGGGCAAGATTCCCTGCGGCACTTCTGCCGAGGAACTCGTAATGTCGCACCCACGGGACTCGCGCAGGAAAGCAGTCCTCATATAGAGAAAACAGACAGTGACATTCAGCAAGTAGTACGTGAGGACAGAAAACACTAACGCATTGCTCACACGCAGACCCAGGGCAGAAGGAGCAGCAAGGTTTCATGCCGACACGGTGTCAGAAGACCCCCGGAGCGCGAGCAAATCGCGACCCCGTCTTCGGGACCTGCCGTGCGCGTGCGCCCTGATGGTGTCGGGCGCACGCGCAAAACTAGACGCAGCTCAGGCGCCTCCTCTGCAGCGGCGTCGCTTCGGGAGCGGCTCGTTCGACTCGGCAGCTGCTTTCGGCTTCGGCTCAACCTTCGGCTTCCTGGGAAGGTCATGCCGCAGAGCCTTGGCAGCCTTCACCTTGGTTTTAAAGGCCTGGTCGTCGAAAGGGAGCGCGGGCAGGAGCGGCTGCGTGTCCTGACCGGCCACCGCGGAGTACTGCAACGTCACAGCCTGACAAGCAGCCTTCCAGCTAGACAGGACCTGCAGAGCGTCCTCGACTCCAGCTGCCAGTTCGGGCGGCGCGTCGTCCCTTTTAGCCACCTGGTTCTTCAGCTTCTCCAAAGAGACCAGAGTCCCGGTCAGCTCGGCCAGAGCTTTCTGCGCCTGCAAGTTTGTCTTGCAGTTATCGCGAGCGATCTTTGCAGACGCTGCAGCCTTGGGCGCAGCTTGCGCTAGCCGGTCCTTCTTCCCGTTGCCTTTCCCCGTGCCCTTTGCAGAGGAAGAGGCCGCGGGCAGGAACCAGTCCTCTGCTGGCGGCTGGTCCTGAGCGCCCTGGCCCGCAGCAGCCTTCTTGCCTCGTTTAGCTTCGCGGCAGTCCTCCTCTTTGCGCAGGAGACCTCTCTCGATGTCCTGGCGAAGAACCCGGAAGTTGTCGTGCTCAACAGGGGCCTGGTAGACAACACCCAGGTGCTCAGTCTCTTTAGACGGGCAATTCCGCACAGAGTCGGACAAGAAGCCGCGCGCCACCCAGACGCTTTCCGGCAGCCACTCACCTGTGCAGCCGCTGTCCCACTCCTTGCGCACTTCGGAGACCAACTCTGTCACAAGGCAGGAGCGCACAACGTCCCAGGAAGCTTTCCCGGCGTTGTCGTTCTTCTCAGTGTTCTTACGGAAAAACTCGGCCTGCCTCGTCGCGTCGAGTTTCTGCAGGACTTTGAGGTCGCCAAGGTGGCGCTTCACAAGGCTCTGCAAGGACTCGCAGGCGCGACACAAGAAGGCGGGGCCGTGCATCCGACCGTCCGCAGCAGGCTTCTGTGTTTTGCAGAGACGACAGCAGAGGAGCTCCGGTTCCTGTGCTTGACGGACAGCAGCGGCTGCAGACTCCATGGGTCAAGTGCACAAGGGGAGGAGCTACAAGGAGGGGTGTATAGCCGAAGCAAGACGCCTAGAACGGCAGGGTTTGAGCCGAAAAAAGTTAGGGTGCAGAGAGCTTGAAAGCCGCCCGCCTATGCGCGAAAAGGAGGAGCGTGTCGCAGAACACACAGAAAGCACAGAAAGCAGCCATCTCTTTTCCATGTCTGCGAGAGTGTCTGTGCTAGAAGGAAGAGACGGCAGATGAGCGAGTCGGTGGCTGAGCCCGCGGACCCGCGCGGACCCCGCGCGGGCACCGCGCGGACGTGTCCAAAGACGCAGGCTCGGCGCGTGGCTGCTCTTGGCAGCATGTGGCGCGGACACACGCGCGGACATGCGCGGACCTACGGCACCCTCTACTTTCAGTGGTTTTGGCTTGGTGTCGCGCGGACACAGTCAATCGTCCTGATTCAAGCTTTCTGCCAGAAGCTGTGTAAGCACGCGCGCCAGCACGTGCGCTATGCGCACGCCCGACAAGCGGTCGGGGTGAAACACGAGGAGCAGCCCCTGAAAGTAGCGCCTCCGGGCCTGTGGCGGCAGTAGTGTACTCAGCTGGTAGAGCACATATAGCAGAAGCCGGGGCAGCAGATCTTCCCCATCGTCCGTGACGGCATCACGCACGAACCCGGGCAGGACTGTGAGGTTCAGTTCCACGAGCATGGCCCGAGGAGGGCCTCTCGGGACGCCTGCTGCCTGGGCCTGGGCCTGTCTGTGGGCACAACGACCGCCATGACCCATGCCATAGCGGCACTCGCGACAGCAGAAGCGATGGCCTCCAAAAGCCAGACGCGTGCAGCCCTCCCGCATGCAAGGAGCCATGGCTTGTTAAAGCTTGGAACCGTGTTAGGGTTTAAGGTTCAGGTCTGGGGGTTTATAAAGGGTTCGGAAGGGTTTAGGGTTCATGTATACGCTTACGGAAGAGAAGCACAGAAGCCCAAGTCTTGCACAGGCGCGGGTGTTTGGGTTAAGGGTTGCGGGGTGACAGGCAGGGCTACATGGGACTATTTTATTTGTGGGATTTTGTGGGGGCTGAGCGAGGCGGACCCTTTTCTGTCTCTGCGAGCGATGCTCCGGAAGAAGTGCTGTCTGAATGGGCCTGGCAAGGGGCACAGTACAAGCAGAAGCCTAGTGCAGCTAGTGCACGTGAACCGTGACCCGCCTGGACCGCCTCCTTGGGCGGTCCGGCGTGTCAGAGGAGGAAGACGCTGAGCGGGGGCGACGCTTCTTGTGCCGGGGTCCCACAGGTGAAGGTGGGCTGGAGGAGGGAGGGCGTCGTGAGGAGCGCTGGCGGCGGCGTAGCTCCTTGTGCTTGCGAGCCCGGCGCGGTGGAGCTGCAGTCTCTGAGCGACGCTGGCGAACTGGAGCCGAGCGCAGACGAACAGCAGGGGCTTGGGGCTGAGCCGTGCTGCGTCCGCGAGCAGCGGGCGTTGCAGCCTGGCCACTGCTCCTCGCAGGAGTGCCTCGCCGACCGCGACCAGGTTTGGTGGGGGCCGGCACCTTTTGGGCATGGTCAGCACAGCGCTTCTGGTAGACCTCCTCCGCCTTAGCCACAGCAGCTGCCCAGTCCTTCTGGCCCGCAGCCCGCCAGAACTGGAGCTCCAAGCAGCGCTTGGACCAAAAGCGGTGCTGCTCGAGGCCGGAAGTGTGAGCAAAGGAGGCCCCGCAGAACCCGCAGCGGTGTGGAGGGGGTGGCTGGCTGGGGTGACTCGGCTTGCGCGTGTCTTCGCCTTGCGCGCTCTGGCCGCCACCTTCCTCCGGGGTCGGGGTGCCGTCAGTGTAAGTGTACTCGCCGGAGCTCAAGTCCACTCTCGCAGACGGTTGGCCGGCCCGTGTCTCCTCCTCTGGCTTCGTTTGCTCCGTCTGTTTCTTCCTGTCCATGGCGGCGCCGTCGTTCTTCTTCCTCTCTGTGCCCATCGCAGAGGACCTGCGGCCAGGAAAGAAAGAGAGAAGGTGTCCTAGATACCTCTATATATCATATGTAGATGTGTATATATATATATATTATATGTATCATATATATATATATATGATACATAAATATATATACACATATATATTTATATGTATGTTCATATACATACATATACATATGTATGTATATATCAAGAAGATGTGTATATATATATATAAGATTTTCATATATATATATATATATCAAGAAGATGTGTATATATATATATAAGATTTTCATATATATATATATACATATTTATATTTATATTTATATTTATATTTATATTTATATTTATATTTATATTTATATTTATATTTATATTTATATTTATTTATGTTTATGTTTATGTTTATATGTTTATGTTTATATTTATATTTATATTTATGTATGTGTATATATATATAGTATATATAAGATGTCCCTGGAGCAGCCACGCAGGCTTCATCGTCGCTGCCACGCAGGCAATGTGCTGAGCCACGCAGGCTCTGATAGGCGGAGCGCCAGAAAAGCCACGCGGGCTTCGTCCTCGCTGCCACACAGGCAACGTGTCCAGCCACGCAGGCTGTGGTCCCTGGGGACGCGTGCCGCGCAGGCAACAAAAGCGCAGCCACGCAGGCTGGCAGGGCAAGACCTGCCTGGGAGCCACGCAGGCTCTCAGGCAGGTGGAGCCGCGCAGGCCCCAGAACTTCAGCCACACGGGCTCTGGCGTTGCAGCCACGCAGGCTGCAAAGGCCGAAGAAGCTACGCAGGCTATTCAAGAAGCCACGCAGGCCCAAGAACAGACACAGGCAGTGTATATAAACCGTAAACCTGAACCCTAAACCCTTTTCCCTAGAAGTAACCTTAAAGCCTAAACCCTAAACCCTTTTCCCTAAACCCTAAACCCTAAACCATATATACAAGCCTTATAAACCCTCAAGCCTAAACCCTAAACCCTAAGCCCTAAACCCTACATATATGTATCCCAAAACCCTGAAGCAAGAAAAATATTCAATCCTGTATATATCAACAGAAAGGTTCGAGCACTAGCAGCTAATAGAACCGGAAGCCCACCTGCTGCAGCTGGAGCCACGCCAAGCCTGGGAGCCAAAAGGAGCTGCGGGAAGCAACAAAGTCATGCAACAGCTTCGATAGCTGGCAGTCCCTGCAAGGAGACACCGCGAGCAGCATCATGTTCCTTTCCCCTCCCAGTGCTCTTCAAGTCACGGCATGCGTGGTAAACTCACTACGGAGACAGAGCCCGGAATGCAGGGACGAGCTATGTGCTGAAAAATGCGAGGCGCTATGTCCAAGAGAGCAGCGGCCTATATGAGAAAGCGCACAAGAGCCATCGTGCATCACTTGTGCCACAGAGTAGCTGCAGCAGCGGAAGCTCGCCTGCCCGCTGCCTTGGCCTTCGTCTTGGAGAGACCCTTCTTGAGTGCAAGCACCTTCGCCTGATGATAGGCGCGCGAAGTGACACACTTCAATGTGTTCTTCAGCGTGCAGGGGCCAGCGCCGGCTTTGCGAGCAGCAGCGGCAGCCGCAGGCTTCTTGCGAGCACACTGATTCTTAGGAGCTGCTTTCTTGCTTTGCTTCGAAGTGGCTTTGGCAGCAGGCTTGCCTTTCTTGGGCACAGCTTTGCCTTGAACATTGGCTGCGGGCTTGCCTTTCTTGGACACAGCTTTGCCTTCAATATTGGCCGCGGGCTTTCCTTTCTTGGGCAGAGCTTTGGTTTTACTACCGGAGCCTGACAAGAGAGAGGCAGCAGCTGCCACCAAGCCAGGGGGTTGGTCATCACCAACCTCAGGCTCGAGCTTGCAACGCAACTGGTCCTCTGCTGCTTTCAGAGGCTCTGTAGGCGAATCAGCGATTGCCAACAAGGGCGCGGCAGCAGGAGCGGGCTCTGGCAGCTCCGGGGCCGGCAACGCTGCCTGTGACGGTGCAGGCCCTACTAGCTGCAGCGGAACTCCCTGCTGCCTCACAGAGGGGGGTTTAGGCTGCATCTGCAGATCCGGCACTGTCACGCCGCGAGCCCCCGCGCCAAGCTGCCCAGCAAAAGCGGCACCCACAAATGCGCCCAGTCCACCCAATCCCTCCCAAAAGTTTGCAGGAGCAGCAGCAGCTGAAGCAGCAGCCAACTGCTGCTGCGGCGCTTGCTTGTTGCTCTTGCGCAAGGGCACGCGCTGAGCCAAAGAGAAAATGAACTGCTGCACAGACGGGTCCAACACAGCAACCCCGGTTGGCAAAGCAGCTGCAGCATACACCGCAGGTGACTGGGCCACAGTGCATGGCAACTGCAGCAGAAAAGTTTGACCTGCAGGAATCGCACCAGCACGCGAAGCATGCTTGCGAAAAGATAACTTCATGCTCTCCAACGCGCTGTGCAGTTGGAAGCAGTTAGTAAAGTGCTCCACGCCCCGAAACACATGCAATGCAGTAAGCAAAGCCATGCTGTGCTCAGAGGGGGTTCGAAGACCCAGAGCTATCACATGCTGAACGATGGCAACGCACCGTTGCTCCTCGGAAGTGCTCGCGTTGGACAACAAGGTGACCAAAGCAGGCGACAAGAAGTCGAGCAGCCTGGTGTAGTCTTGCATGGGCCGACGCAATCCTGTTGTCGCGTTGTTTCCTCCCTCTGGAGCATCCATGACACCAAGGTGGAGAAAAACTTCCCGTATATGCTTTGTGCAACAAGAAAAGCCAAAAGCTGCAGCGAATTTGATACCTCATGGAAACATCATTTTTCAACGCCATATTGTCTTGCGTCTCCATGCGAAATCATGCGAAACCTATCCAAACACAAGTTCATTCTAACTATAACATATGTTCCAAATAACTACAAACGACAAAAAATGCAACTAACTTAGATCTTCAGAATTATTCAGATATCTTCAGATTAAGTCCTCCCCCACTACTTTAGAGATATAAGTGACTTATATGTGACTTCGCCTATGTATAACCTACTTATAAACGAAATATAACTCATTTATATCTCCCAAACACCAGTTCGCCCTCCTGGTAGCTACATGCATACCTACACTACATCGCATTCCAGTACGTTATACGCAGCAAAAAACAGACAGACATACATACATACCAAATCGATATTCACCTATATGTGCAGACTTCGAAATTCGCCAGTGGCTAGTTACGGCTAGTTGCGCGAGTCGAGGCGGCGCTGAAGAAGGCCACGGACACGCGGGAGGTGGCTGCTCTCACCTTCGCGCTGCAGCAGGCTCTTAAGGGGCCCAAGAGCCATGGGGACAATGTGGGGGGCAACGTTGCGACCTCACACCTCCGCGAGCCCCACCGCGGCTGTGTCTTTGCGTGAGAGGCCAAGGAGGCGGGCGTGGATGCCGAGTTGCTGGCGGCTTCCCAGGCCGTCTTGGAAGTCGAGGACCGGGCAATGGAGGGCATGCATTGGTCTGTGCCTTGCACTTTGTAAAGTCTTCCCATTGAGATCTGAAGCGAGGCCCCCAAGCAAGAGGCGCGCGAGGTCCTTGCAGCTCAGCTGGCCAAGGCCTTTGGGAGATTTGGGGGGGGGAACCGCGGCGTTTGAATTTTATCACCGCGAGTTGCGAGCATGGCCATTTTCACAGGTTCACGCGGCAGGGGACCAAGGGCCCTCGCTGGAGGAGCTCACGGCGCCCGGCGCCTGGGAGCTGCGACTTGCATATGTGAAACGGACCCCGCAAGTGTTGTGAGCAGTGCAAAGAAAGGTGCCCCAACAAGGGGCCCTCAAGCAGGGGAGCGTAAACCGATGTGATGGTGGGAGAGTGATTAAGGGGTCAATTGGCCCATTGGTGCGGGGTGGCGTCCAGGCTCGAAGCGGCCATCGACAGGGCCCGGACGGTGCAGCCATCCGCTCAGGGTTCAACCATATATACCATATTACATGTATTTCTACTCCATCTATCTATATATATATATATACATGTCCATATTGTATATGTATACAAGTAAGTATTATATAATGTTCAATCGCTGCTTGGTGTTTTTGCCTCTCAGCACTTTGGGAACGTTTTTGGAACCCTCAAGGCTCCCGGAGGCCGAGCATTGGCCCCAGAGGGAGGGCGGAGCCAGAGTTTGGGCTTCTTTTTGGGGCATTTTACAGGGTTTTTACAGGCCTTTTATACTAGGGCTTGGGGTTTTGTAGGAGTTTTTGTAGGGCTTTGATGGGGATTTTGTAGGGCTGTTAAAGGGGTTTTGCCGGGCTTCTATTAGGTTAGATTGTGTGTTTTCTGGGTTTGGGTTTGTAGGTTTAGGGGTTGGTAGGGTTTGTAGTCAGGGAGGCTATGTAGGGTAATCATCTGTCATCTTTTCCCCTGCATCCCCGCCCCTCACTCCCAGTTCTGCATTCCCCCGTGGTGCTTCGGAGCGTAGCCGGAAGAGGCTTGGGAAGAGCCAATGACTGGCACACACAGCTTTCTCAAGTCAAGCCTGGCATCGTGTGACCCTCCAGCAACCACCCCTGTGAATGCCCCAACATTCTAAAATACAAAAGTTGCGTGGAACACCGCCTCTCTCAGGTTCGCTCAGGCCTTGGAGATATTGGCGCAGGAGCAGCAGCGTGCCATGTGCAAGAAGGAGGCCGTGCGACGGTTGCAAAGTGCTCCGTCATGTAATTAGGCACACTCATGCCCTCTCTGTCTGCATTCCTGCCCTCAAACAGCGACATGACTTCACAAGAGACCTGCTTCAGTCACCGTACTGCTCCTAAAACGGCTCCAGATTGCGAGCCCGACATGGCCCCAGAATCCTTTTGAAGGGCCGCGGAAGTCAGGGACTTCAAGGGTTGGGCTTCGAAGTGCACTAAACCATCGGCACTGGTCAGAACACTAGAGCCATCATAAACCACTAAACTCCAAGAGCCCCAAAAACCCGATAAAACCCCTCTAAAGCTCTATGAAGCCAATTTCGCCCCCGAGCATGCGTCTTACTTTGCAGGTGGCGAAGGTGGTCGAGAAGCGGAGGGATGTCGACCGCAACAGTTGCCCAGAGCCCGCTTTGTCGCAAGACCACTCTGCGCTGGAACCGTTTCAATACGTAGAAATATGCATGAATACAAGAACATGTTCTTCTAGCTATGTTTACGCACATGGCAAGTAAGACTGCATACAGCAAATACATTTACGAAGCATCCCTGTATCATCCCCTTTCCCGCCCTTTCCCCACGCATTCAAATTGAAGACCCGCAGACGCACAGCCCACAGAAACGCACGGCTCTTGTGCCAGGCATGGAGGCCTTGGAGGAAGCCAAAGAGGAGAGAAATACAAGTCTGTTACTATTCCTTCATTCCCGATCGTGGTTCTCTCTGGCAGCATTAGAGTTACCAATAAAGGGGGCAACGCCTTATAAGCCCTAAGCCTCCAGGCTTATGAATCTGACCTCCTGGCTTGGGCCCCCATGAGGAGCTCTTCAACGCCCTGCTTGCGGCAAAGGCCCCGCAGAGTGATTTGGGGATCCGAAGGGCTTGCGGCGCTTGCGGAGGTTTGAGAAGAATGTTACAGGTATAGTTTCACAAGTCACTCTGAAATGCACTTTGTGTTTGTATATATATATATATGTATAATCTATGTAGATGCTGTAGTATCGCTAACTGCAGATTGTCTGCTTTCTTTTGCTTGCTGGTCGGATGCCCAGGTGATGCTTGCTCTCAACAACTGCCCATCCTTTTGACTGCACTTCGAGAGTTCGAGTGAGCAGGTCATCTCTCTGTGGTGGTCCCTGTTGGGGGTATTGATAAATATGTGGGCGCGCGTTGTAGTAGGTACCCAAAAAGGGACCACATGTTACTTCCGAAAACCTACCATTTCGACCGTCAAGCCCTCGCATCAACCACCCTGTTTTGGCAAAGGCCGTCGAGGTCCCCTCCGCAGCTCTGCGCGAAGCGGACGGCCTCCGCAGGAGGCGAGGCTGATTGAAGCCTTACCTCAGACCCTCAACCCTTACCATTACTCTCCCAGACCTTATGGAGTTTAGGCACGTGCGTCGGCATGGCTTTGATAGGGCTTTATTGCAGAGTTCGAAGCTTGGGGCTTGGGGCATCTTGGGGCTTGATTCGTTCTTGCGTCCTGGTTCCGGAAGACTTCTTCGACGATGTGCTCCCCAAAGCTCGGGACCTGAACATCCAATGAAATACAATGTTGACCCGAATTCCCAAGGCCAACTCTCCTGCGCCATCGTCAGCCCTTATATCAGTGTCCCTGAGACTGTCCCTGCATGTCCCAGGATCCACAATGCTCTCGAAGATCTCAAGGGCTCCATCCGCGTGTTCTGCCGAATACGGCCGATCAACAAGCGAAGCCGACTTGTGCAGCTTTAGGGCTTAGGCTTAGGCCTTAGGCTTTTGCGGTTTCGGCTGCTGCATTGTGCCTATTTGGAGTTCTGTTGCAGATGGAGGGCATGACATGGGGAAGCCGGTCATCTG